GGTGTCATTTGAGTGAATCTTTGTATCAATTTAGGAGGATGCACGTTTAAGACAGTAAAATTAAAACAGTGAATTATGGTCTCGGTGGAAGGAGATTTAGTTAGGTGAAGTCCTCCGCTTTGTGGCCACTTGGAAAACGAGCTTTATAATACCAAAAATCAAAAGCAGATCTATGAGTTTATTTAGTTAATAGCACATAAATTTCTTTATCTACAAGTAAAACGTGTGTAACTGATCTCAGAAGCGTATAAGAGCATGTTCCATTATATGTGTTGCCTTAAATCCACTTCTCGTAAGAATTGGATAAACGGTGACTATTACACAAAACGTAACTAAAACAGAATATCTCATATGAATATGTATATTTCTTATAATATGCATATAATATTTATTTTCATATATTTTCATTTATCAAAATATGATATTAGATTAATAAAAGATAAATAAGAAATAAACCGAAGCGTAACGCAGGTATATACATAGTCTATTTAAAATTTGCTGCAATTCTGTAAGAAATTGACGACTAATTCTCTAATAAATATATTGTAAACAAGTATAATGGAATTTTCTCACTCTCATATATATATGATGAGATCCGAATTTCATAATATATTTATGGAAAATATATACTAAACATATATCTTATTTGTTATTTTATTTTTTAATAATTTATTAAAATATTATGACAGGTATAAATTTGAGACAATTTGTGACGCAAATAAATTCCATCAAAATAATTACAATGATTTTCTTCTAAAATTTCTATTTAAGTAAATATTTTTTTTGTTTGAACTAAATTTTCAATATAAATATTTCCATCTTAAAAACGCAGTTTCTTTGTGTATGTGAAATCTTGTGTGTGCAGTGTGCATTGTGAATACTAATAGCAATCCTTTTGACCTTGTAGCTAAGAGATAAAAATATGAAAAAGAATACGGCACTAAAAATAGCATGATGGTTTATGGAAGTGCGTATTGGCAAGAAATGAAAAGAGGCGCGTATAGTTCCACTAAGTAAAAACTACTGTTACATGAATTGAGCAAAAGTGTGCATGAGCTTTCTTGTAAGTGATCATCATTATCAGCTTTAATGAATATGTTAGTGCTTATAGATGACTATATTGTGTATTCATGTCGACCAAGGAGCATAGACGCGTTTTCGAGATATAAGAGTGTTGAGTGGTTTTTCATCTTTAATTATCCTGAAGCTATGATTGAAGGACGCGTGTATGTGTCTATTGGTGGGGGGTTTGGCTATAAATAGGGTATCTCGAAAAGATGTAATCAAAATAGCGCTAGTACTGATCGAGTTTTATATTGTTTGGGAATATATCTGTGAGTTTAGAGTGTGTATATCAAAAGAGGGAGGGAGAGAGAGAGAGAAAAAAAAAAAAAAGAGTATGGGGAAGTTTGTGAGAAGGGGCTGGGTTCTAGCGTGTGTGATGGTGCTTCTGATGTCAACTCAAGTGTTGGGAAAATTATTTGGTACAGATGATCATACCAAGAACAAAAACCGACATCACAAAAATAAACGAGACAGTGCTGGTGCTCGTGGAGGTGGAGGTGCTGGAAGTAGTATTGGAGCAGGAGGTGGTGCTAGTGGTGGCATTGGAGTGGGAGGCGGAGTTGGCGGAGGAGGAGGTATAGGTGGTGGTGGTAGTGCTGGCGAAGGTGCAGGTGGTGGAATTGGAGCCGGAGGAGGATCTGGTGGTGGAGGAGGTGGAAGTGGCACTGCTAGTGGTAGTGGACGAAGTCGTGGTGGTGGACACGGTGGTGGACGTGGTGGCGGTGGTGCTGGTGGAGGTGTAGGTGGTGGCGTTGGAGTTGGAGGAGGAGTTGTTGGTGGTGGAGGTGGAAGTGGCGGTATTGGTGGAGGGGGACGTGGTGGTGGACGTGGAGGAGCTAGTGGTGGTGGGCGTGGTAGTGGAGGAGCTAGTGGTGGCGGAGGAGGAGTAGGCGGAGGAGTTGGTGGACGTGGTAGTGGAGGAGTTGGTGGACGTGGTAGGGGAGGAGCTAGTGGTGGCGGAGGAGTAGGCAGAGGAGTTGGTGGACATGGTAGTGGAGGAGCTAGTGGTGGAGGAGGAGTAGACGGAGGAGTTGGTGGAAGTGTTGGAGGAGTTGTAGGAGCTGGAGGTGGTGTTGGAGGAGCTGGTGGTGGTGCGGTTGGAGGTGGTGTAGAAGTCGGAGGTGGAGTAAAAGGTGGTGGTGGTGGTGCAGGAGGTGCAATTCGAGGTAGTGGGGGAGGTGGCACCTGGAGTGTTAATGGAGGTGGTGCTCGAGGAGGTGTTGGAGGGGGTGACGCTGTTGGTGGAGGAGGACGTGGTAGTGGTGGAGATGGAGCTGGTGGTAGAGCTGGAGCTGGAAGAGTAATTGGTGGTGGAGGAGGCGTAGGTGGTGCTGTTGGTGGAAGCGCAGGTGGTGCTATTGATGGAGGTGTTAGTGGTGGTTTAGGAGCAGGAGGTGGAGTAAAAGATGGTGGTGGTGCAGGAGGTGCAATTCGAGGTAGTGCGGGAGGTGGCACCTGGAGTGTTGTTGGAGGTGGTGCTCGAGGAGGTGTTAGTGAGGGTGGCGCTATTGGTGGAGGAGGACATGGTAGTGGTGGAGATGGAGCTGGTTGTGGAGCTGGAGCTGGAAAAGTAATCAGTGGTGGAGGAGGCGTAGGTGGTGCTGTTGGTGGAAGCGCAGGTGGTGCTATTGGTGGAGGTGTTAGTGGTGGTCTAGGAGCAGGTGGAGTAGGACGTGGAGGTGGTGTCGGTGGCTATGTTGACTCTGTTGGAGAGGGTGCCGGTGGTGCTTTTGGAAGTGGTGCCGGTGGTGCTGGTGGTGCCAGTGGTGCCGGTGGTGCTAGTGGTGCCGGTGGTGCCACTGGTGCCGGTGGTGCCAGTGGTGCCGGTGGTGCCAGTGGTGCCGGTGGTGCTACCGGTGCCGGTGGTGCCAGTGGTGCCGGTGGTGCCAGTGGTGCCGGTGGTGCCGGTGGTGCTGGTGGTGCTGTTGAAGGTGGTGCCAGTGGTGATGTTGGAGGTGCAGTAAGTGGTAGAGGTAGTGCTGGTGGTGCTGCTGGAGGTGGAGTTGGTGGTGGGGTAGGAGGTGGTGCCGAAGGAGGTGCTGGAAGCGTTGTTGGAGGTGGAGTAGGTGGAGGAGAAAGTGATGGTGGTGCTGTTGGAGGTGGAGTAGGCGGTGGAGGTGGTGCTGCTGGAAGTGGTACTGGAGGAGGTGTTGGAGGTGGTGTCCAAGGAGGTGTTGGAGGTGGTGCCCAAGGAGGTGTTGGAGGTGGAGTAGGCGGTGGAGGTGCTGCCGGGGTTTCTGTTGGAGGTGGTGTTGGAGGAGGTGAGGGAGGTGTTATCGGAGGTGGAGCTGGTACCGGTAGCTCTGTTGGAGGTGGTGTTAGAGGAGGTGTTGGAGGAGGTGTTGGAGGTGGTGGAGGCGTTGTTGGAGGTGGATTAGTTGGTGGTGGAAGAGCAGGTGGTTCTGGAGGTGGCGGTGGCGTTGGTAACCGACGACACTAAGTCCGAAACGGCAATGACCGTTAACAATTTAGCACTTTATGCATGATGTTAAACCACGTCCATCTACGAGGTTCTTAAAATTGAAGAAATTTCTATAAATATATTAAATAATAAATAGTAATATAATGATATATGAAATTTTAAAAATTAAGAAACAAACCTTTTAAAGTGTATAAAACTGTGTTTGGGAAGATCCTTATTTTGGCAATTACCAAATATAGAGAAAATGAAAGTGTTTAAATGAATAGTTTGGTATATCTGTAAAGCCAGAAATGATAAAATATATTCATATATTGATCAGAATTTTAGGGATCTTTTATGGATTGCATAAGCAGAGGCTACAACGTGGGATTTAGCGCAGATAGAACCATCACAACAGGAAAATCAAAGTACAACAGATTTGGTAGTCCAAGGACAGGAGGGCTTAATATGTCAAACATATGGCTCTAGGAAATCAACATGCTCGAATGCCGGATTAGAATGGTACTGTGAGGGCAGTAGAACAGAGGTTACGGTAATAAGTGCAAAAAATGTAAGACGAAGCATTTCTCCGCTACACACAGAATTAGAAGCTCTAATCTGGGCTTTGTATTGTATGCTTGATGCACGAAGATTTGCGATGGCTTTCGTCACATATAGTTTGAATTGGTGAAAATGGTGTATGAACCAGAAGAATGACCGGTTTTCGCTACACACTTGGAGGAATACGAGACAAGCAGGAAGGAATTTCGGGTTTTTTCTATCTCACATATTCCACGCACTCAAAACACAAAGATAGATAAGTTAGCACGTGGTGCTCGGAACTACCTCTACAGTTTAAATTATATAAACTCATCTCAACCGGTTTGGTTATCTAAACCGTTTCAAGAATCTGAGGCTGTTGACAAAAAAAAAACTACTCTAAAGTTTAAAGAAATTGTTTAAAATGCATCGTTATTAAACTAGTGATTGGAAAATATATCTTTAAATTCATTGTTATTAGTAATAATTTAAGTAGCGGGTTTTAAGAAACCTGAAGTGATTTTAAGATATTTTGATTGTATTTCCTAGTTAATAATATAAAAATCCGAATCTTATAATTTTATTTGGAGTTTGATAGAATTTTGATATAAAATCATAACAATTTCCATAATTCAATTAGATCATTTAAAAACTTATTAAAACTCAAATCCATCCACATCATTTTCAAATGTTAAATTGAATACACCTCTTAAATAAAATACTTTAGAACTCTCTCTCCATTTTAAAAACTCCATAATTGTTTTTTAATATTTGTACAACTAAAAACCCTAAATGAAAATACTCTTATTTTCTTAATAGTTTGCACGCATGCTCAGTGTTATTCACTTTACCTTATACTCTTTTTACTAATTGTTAATATTAATAATGAATAAAAGTCTTTCAAACGATTTGTATAAGTATAACTAATAAATTACCATTTTATAATTTAAATATTATTTTATTTTCAACATAAAACATTTAAAAAACTAACATTTTACAAATAAAAAAGAGCTTTGTGTTGCACCTGCTTGTAGCGTTGTGTTGGACTACCGCTAATCCCATGGAGGAAATCTGAAAAAAAGACAAGATAATATGAGTACTATTCAAAAATGTTCCCGATTACTTTACTCTATGTAGTTTAAAGATGTGTTTAAAGTTTACATAGATGATGAATTCACCTGAATATGCTTCTATCTTTCAAGATCAGTAAGCTTCTAGGCATCATCAAGACAGAGAATTAGCTACGATTATTTCTCTCAGGCACACAACTCTCTGCAGCCGAACCTTGATCTCTCGAAATGCCATCATCACCTGATCTTAATCTTAAATGCAGACTAAAGTCCATAACGACAGGAAAATAAGCGGGTCCATCTTGGTGCGGCTGTGGGAAACGACAACATTGGAAGAAGCAACAAACTTAATCATGGACTTTAACAGAAAACTAAAAGACCATTTAAGTAAGAAGAGAAGATTTTTAGCCACTGAATACGAAAGGGATGACGTACCATTATCCCTTGGTCAGGATGGTATTTGTTGATGAGGACATGATTTATAGAAGAAGGGAAAAGATCCGAGCTTTCATGGATTTTTGCTGTAATCTTTGTGAGCCAAACGGCACTGAAACAATGCAAAAGATCAAATATCAGAAATATCATGGTTTTTATGGTTTTTAATCATGGTATAAGTCCTTTTTATTGAGTTTTTTGGTCTTTTTAGAATCCTAGTAGAGTCTTTGCAGGTTATAGCATGACTGGAGCACAATTGGAGGTTTTGGAGTTTATTGGATTATTGCAAGAGTCATCCACGAAGGAAGCAAGTCAGAAGCATTGTCATGCACTGTATCTGAGAAAGAATCGCGACTTCATTTAAAAGATAGAGAAGAATTCGGACTTTTGGCCCAGAAGTTTCACTATTTACAAGAAGACCCCAGCTCTTGTTTTAGCTTGTATATATTAGGTTTTCAGCCATTGTTGGCGGATATCTTGTATCTTAGAATTCAGAGAGCTTTTGAGAGAGATTTGTTGCAGAGCTTTTGGAGAGACAAATCAAACTCCTTCAGAGCAAATATCGAACTCCTTTATCTTTATTTCTTATTTCTTTGATGCAATATATTCTATTCATGATGTTTTTTTTTCATTCACCATGTCTGAGTAGTTTGTTAGTTAGGTTAGGATTATTCAAAGGTTAATGAAGAGTTTGTAGAATCGCTTTAGCTGTTAGAAAAATCTTTTGGTTCTTCAATTGTGCTTGCATTCACATTGATTTCTTAGACACATCATCTGGATTTAGAAACCCTAGGTTGTTTAATTATAGATGTGAGAGTATTATTAATCACCTGAACTAGTATTAGATGAGCAAAACGCCTATTTGCAAAAAGATTTGGCTTATGATTTTTGTGAACAATTAAACCTGATCATTACTTCATGTTTAGGTTGTTAGAGTTTGCAAAGAGATTTGAAACTCTGTGACTTATACATAGATAACTTCTTCAATGAGAATTGATTAGTGATATCTTTGAGATTCATGTTCAAGACGGTTTTAATTCATTCCTGATTGCAGACATATATACTCTAGTTTATTTTTGTTTTCTAACATTAAAAAAAAACACAAAAAATAGAAGAAGATCGGAATTATTTTAGCTGACCCGAGTTCACCACCTGGTGACGATCGTCACCAGTAGTGGGTGACGCTCGTCACCCCATCCAACGCGAGGTACCACTTTCAAACTCTGCTCTTTGCGTTCTGTTTCTTCTATTTTGACCAACTCTAGACTTAATAACACTGGGGACAGTGTTGTTTAAGTCTGGGGTAGCCACCCAGTGTTGTTTAAGTCTGGGGAGGTGGCTACTGACGTTTTGTACATTGTGATTTGTTTTGAGAGTCTTAAAGTTGAGTCAAAAACCTTTTTTATAGAGTTAAAGTTTTGAAACTGTCAGTTTTTCTTGGAACTAACCACAAAACATTGATGCTTATAAGAACCATTGCGACAGTAGTTGATTACAAGTCTTACTAAGTTGAAAGTCATAGGTAGATCAGTCTAGCAAAGAAGGTTTAGGTTGTTAAAGAATCTGAAATATCTGCTGTTGACTCCACCTTTTTGAAATTTAAACTTCTTATCTTGGGGCTTGATACTCACTGATATTGATTCTCTCTTTCAACACTGACAATAAGGTTTAGATACAGTCTCTCTTTGATCTGAGAAGGAACCGTGACTTCATTTAAAAGATAGAGAATAATTTGCACTTTTGGCCCAGAAGTTTCACTATATACAAGAAGACAACAACCTGTGTTTTAGCTTGTATATATTAGGTTTTCAGCCATTGTTGGCGGATATCTTGTATCTTAGAATTCAGAGAGCTTTTGAGAGAGATTTGTAGCAGAGCTTTTGGAGAGACAAATCAGACTCCTTCAGAACAGATTTTGACTCCTTTATCTTTATTTCTTATTTCTTTTATGCAATCTATTCTATTCATGATGTTTGTTTCATTCACCATGTCTGTGTAGTTTGTTAGTTAGCTTAGGATTATTCAAAAGTTGATAAAGAGTTTGTAGGTTCGCTTTAGCTGTTAAGAAAATCTATTGGTTCTTCATATGTGCTTGCTTTCACATCGATTTCATAGACACATCATCTGAAATTCGAAACCTTAGGTTGTTTAATAGATGTGAAAGCATTATTAATAACCTGAACTAGTATTAGATGAGCAAAACGCCTATTTGGAAAGAGATTTGGCTTAGGAGTTTTGTGAACAATTGAACCTGATCATTACTGCATGTTTAGGTTGTTAAAGTTTGCAAAGAGATTTGAAACTATGTGATTTAGACATAGATAACTTATGCAATGAGAATTGATTAGTTATATCTTTACAATTCATGTTTAAGATGGTTTTAATTCATTCCTGATTGCATGTATTTTACACTCTCGGATTCAACTTGTTAATTGTCCTGACTTAGCGCCTTTAGCTTTCTGAACTTTAAGAACAATCATAAAAACGCCCACTTGCATTTACTTTGCTGTTTCGCATTACATTCATTACTTACTGCTTAGCTTAATTTGAACTTGAACTATATAGTGCAGTTTACTTATTCTCTTGGGATTTTATAACCCTTATACTATAACTGCATTGCTGTGCACTTGTAAAAGTTTTATTTGGATAAAACATGAGCCCTATCAATATACTCAATGAGCATCTATAGAAATCAGATTATCAAAACGTTTTTCTACTTCTTACTTGCGTTCTTGTGGAACAACATCCTTTTCATAGACCATACCACCTACAGAATTAGCCAAAGGTCAAGACTTGTTTTTTTTTTTGCATCTTTCAACATCGCACACACAATGTAATGAAATCAAAGTCTGAGGGAAGTGTAAAAAACTGTATCCTCGCTCACCCCAGTTCTGTAGTCTTCTATTCTTTAATCTTCCACTTGGAACCAGAAGCTCCATATATCTTTAATACGACAGCAAGATAGGTACTTAATATTAAAAAAGAGGAACAAAACCAATAAGTCAGAATGCTAAACAATTGAGGAGGAGTTTACATGATTGAGAAGCTAGTGATGCAATCAAAAGCATACCTTTGTATTAACTTTAGCATGAATGAAGATCTTGGAACCAGTTTCCCAGATCTTAGAACCATTTCCTTTGCCACTTTTTGGATGCACAAATAATTACAAAAATGACGAAACCAATCCTGACAAAGCATTGATACAAAAATGACGAAATCAATCCTGTCAAAGCATCGATATTTAGGATTCATATTTTGTAGCTAACATTGGATTCAACATCGAAAGCATAAGAACATATATGTGTACATACCCCCACAGAAAATCAGTAATAAGCATCCAATCTTCTTCCTTATCTAGATATGTTACTAATCCAGATGACCCATCGGTAGTATCTTTAGCCATGTTTCCAAGTGACCATCAGTTTCTCGTGTGCTTGAGCCTGATTACAGAAAGAATCATCACTTCAATCTCAGGAAAGGAATTAAAAAAACAGACCACGTGATTCGAATAACACACATGTTTGGGTTTCAGAAATATATCTTTAAGAGTGTTGGACATTTATGACCATTCAGATCGATCTTCCTTCCAATCGGAGTGCCATCCATAGTCACCTTCACAAACATCGAACTTCTCATCTTCCAATCGGAGAACGAATCCACAAAGCGAGGAAGAAGGGCAACAAACAGCGATTTAAGCTAACCGATCCGACAAAATGAAGAAAGCTGATCGCTTGCTATATTAGAGCATTTTAGGTTGCATTTTATGCATATTTTCCCTTTCTTTTGCATATTAGTTTAGCATTTTTGTCTAATTTACAATTAGAAATAACATTGCATGCATTTAGTTTGCATACATTTGCATGTTTTTGGAGTTTCTCTGGTGCTTTTGGAGGTTCTTGGAGTTTTGGGAGGAGATGCAGACAGCTAATGTTCGCAGGAATGCCAAAGAAAGAGAATTTCCAAGTCTGTAACCATATCAAGATGCTACATCGAGCAAACCCCCTATGGAGTGTGCCTGATGCGAGCCAAGATGCACGAAGAAGTGGACTGGTTCGTGGAGTCTAAGGCAGTTGTCTACATCGAGGTGCTGCATCGAGAAGGGAAAACGTGCACAAGCCGATACAAGCTGCACAAACCATATCGGGGTGGTGCATCGACCAGAACACCGTCCATACCACTGATATACTTACATATTTTGCATATTTAGCATGCATTTAAGATAGTTTTCATGCATACATTCTTACATTTTAGGCTAGTTTGCACTATTTGTCTCATTTTAGGTCCTAAGTGCACTTTGCATTAGCATTTGCATACTTCTTGCATTCTTGCATCATATTCAGGTTGTTTTGAACACACTGGAGATGTGGAGGATTCGTGAATGTGCTAAGGATCAAAATGGAGCTTATGGACACTTGGGAGAACTCGGCCATATAGCAATGGAGCTGAGATCGAGGTGCGGATCAAGCTAGGCAGGTCGATCTAGATGAGATCAACCAGAAGATCGAGTGGCTCAAGTCATTTCAAGGAGGAGGATCGAGACCAAGATCGACCAAGGTGATCGATCGTGAGTATGCACGTGGACTAAGCCATGCAGAACGAGAGCCAGACCGAGACCACGACCCGATCACCCGAGGATCGACCAGGAGATCGAGGGAAGCAGTCGATCCGCCTTACCAAATCGACCCAAAGATCGAGCAAAGAGTAGATGATCCAAGGAAGATCGAACATCAGATCGAGTATTCAGCTCGATCTCTACACCTTATCCGGCCAGCGCACTTTTGAACTCTAGTGAGGGGACCATTTCTTTTGTTGGCCTATTTTGGGCAAAACCTTGTGAACCATTCATTATGCTTTTACTTCTTTTAGCTTTTGCTTACTGCCGAAGGCGATTTTGAGCCATTGTTGAACTTTTCATTCTTTTCATGTTTTAAACCTTTTGAATCTTGTTAATCATTGAGTATTTGCTTAATCAATCTTCTTTAATCATGCTTAGTTTCCTTTTC